TATTCCAGAAAATACATATCTGGGATCGCCTATGTGATATGATCACGAAACTGATGGACGTACAGAAATGTCAAAAATAATAATCAAAGCATATATATTATCTGATCAAACATCTAATCTCCACAGTAATGATCACTGTACTTCCCCCCTAAGTGGTAGGCCCCTGCTTGACTCATATACTTGTTGATAGACCATTTTTAGTGTCCCATCGATTTCAGTAGACATTAGTGTGATTCACTATCCCTGGGATTAAGTTGCCGACTGGTAAAACTGATCAACAGGTCAATGATAATACGCGGTTCTTCTTTATCACTCTTCGTTATATCGCGGTGTATGATCAAAAGTAACCAGTATACACATAAATCATTGTGCGACGCCTATATGTCACCCGCTTTTATTCGGTCAAATAGTGTACAATTGTAATACTATTTTAAAGAGCCCGGTTTGACAGTTAGCACATTGTATGTGCATGAAATAATGAGACTACAGATTGTGTTGTTTATTGCCGTTCTACCTCGATTACTACTCGGATAAAAAACGTTCAGAACGGAAACTCGCCAAAGTGAGCAACTGTATCATGAACCGTTTGGGACGTTCGGGTAGCACAACGGGAATGAGACTAATTTTAATTAGCGATGCGAGCGGTTTTACCTCCTACTCAGAATGTGATGCATTAGACCGTGGCGAATGGATACAGGCGACCTACCGTACAGGACTACGTGAGTCGAGTGGCGAATAGCACAACAAAACAAAACTACTGGAAGTACTTTGGTTCGAAGGGTTTTCCCGACAGGAAGGTTGTCGCTTAGGAAGTCTTTTTGGTAACACCTTGATCTATCGGCACGAAACCCAAAAGTATACTGAACGATTTCCGGCGTTCTGAATAGCAGTTCAGAATTTTTCCTTTTAAGTTTTATGAGAGATCTGATAGTACAGATTGAGATGAGCCCCTAATTAAATAATCCACAATAGTTGGTTACGTGTGCCATGTTGAATTTCAAAACAGAGTGAGTTTCATGTAGGTGAGACGACATTTTAGGTGTGTAATGTCTGTCGGTAGAAATGTGTATTTTACCATAGACAAAGAACTCAATTCTAGAGTATGTCCGTGCGTAATCTATGGTTAGGCAAAGGTACCTACGAATCAACGTAGAAATTGTTATAACCCGATCTAGTTTCAGTTAATAAAAACAGCGAACTGCTGTAGAATGACCAAGTCGTCCTTCGGCAGCCTATTTGATTAACCAAAGAATAAAATATGTAAGGGATATCCACAATATGAGTAAAATTACTTGTTACAGTGATGAGCCGAATGAGTTCACAAACCCAAAGAAGCACTACTGCTTTGCATCCCTAGCCATCGATCAGTCCGGTTTTGAAGTTCGTATAAAAAAAGTCTGACACAAAAGATATCAAGATAATCGTTCTAGGGTTCTTAACTTTCACACTTAGATTTAGTTTGAACACTTGATCTTTTTCCGATCATCAGTTTCTACAAGGAAAATTCCCTCAAGGAGTAACTTGATCCAGTGGCAAATTCTAAACAGGTAAAGCATTATCATTAGCAAATATATGGTTTCGGCTCGCACATCCGTGAGACGCGGTTTAACGGCAGTCTTTCCGTGAAAAGTTATTCACTCTCTGCAAACTCCTTGAATAACTTCAGAATAAAATAACACCAACTAACCATTCCGCCATACCGTTTTTTTCGAGTGCTAACACAAAACTTTTGAGGATACCATAATCCACACTGCTAAGTACTACTATTTTACTCGATTGTGCTTCCGAAAAGTAAGACTCGTGGTATCGTCGCTGACCTAGTTCGACCAGTCCGTTGAAAACATCCATTTCCCCGGATCGTACGGTTAAAAACTGCTATTCTGTCACGTGTACTAAATGAATCGAAATACGGTCAGCAGAACAAGTTCTTTACTCTACATATTCTAAACCTTTAAAAAGTAATCTGAATTTGAAACTTTTCTGACCGCATTGTGGAAAGATAAGTTCAATTTTTTTATTTTTGTTAATGCATCCAGGTGAACATGAGGTCATTTTTTTTCAAAGTTCATCTTATCAATTAAAGACCCATGAACTGGCGTTTCAGTAAACACGAATGCTCTTAACAATAATTATCCTAAATATTAGGTGTATTTAACTTCTCATGTTCACTGCAACCTTGCGTCTGGCACATCTGTAATTTCGTACCACGTAAGAAACCAAAATAAATGTTCCAACTTGTACCTCAAACCGTTCAATTATTTGGCATTTCAGTGGGCCGTTTAGAAACATGCTTCACATAACGTTGCCCAAATCATTTTCTATCGTTTTCATGATGTATTTGTTTTAGCACGGACAAAAATAAATATATATGCGAAGAAACTCCGCACGAAAGTTAATCGCTTAAGATTTGAAACAAATTGATTTTTGGGTAAGTCTTACTTCGCTCTCAAATGGCGTTAGGGAGAAGTCTTGTCAAGAACTGTATAAAGAAAATTGCAAACAGTGAAAAACAGGAAAGGCAGAATTTACAACTATCATACCTCACGTTTAAGCCGATCTTCCACAAACCACACTTGCACATAGACCTGCCACCGACCAGCACCGATGTAGAAATACTGGCAGTGGGTGAACAGAGCCGGATGTGTTGGTGCTCGTTCTGGGGCAACCACATGTACAGTTGGTGGCTCAAATCGTTCCAGTGTATCCACCACTTTCTTCTCCTCATCATCATCCTCCTCCTCGTCTTCTTCTTCATCCTCTTCTTCTTCTTCGTCTTCCTCCTCCTCTTCTTCCTCTTTCTCCTCATCTAAACCATCCTCAGCATCTTCCTGATTATGGCCCACCCCTGGTCGGGTTACCTTGGCCGCATCTGCATCCAGTGGAGTACCCGTGATCGTGACCCGTTTGACGGTATCGTCGGGTTGTAAATCCAAAGACGACTTCAGTTGACTCAGATCTGGAAGACTGCCGGCCTCACGAACTATGCCGAAAGCTGATGTATCGAGTTTGCCCCCAGCTAGACTCGCACCGCCAACAACCGTTGGTTTTGAGTCCACTGAACACTGCGTTTCATGTGCACCGGCATCCGTTGCAGTAATATGGGCCTAATGATTAAAATAAAGAAGATCTGTCAAAATGAAGGGAATTTATAAATGCCCAAGGTAATAGCTTGTGTTTGTAAACGTCGAAAACAGAAATATAGTTTTAATTCGCAACCTTAGCCATCGAAGGCCTTTTTTGTTTTAAAATGGTAACTAACTAATGACTTACAAGGATTTGGGTTATGCAGACGACAACGCCTTGCTGGTAATCGACATACAAGTCAATCAGTACCACTTGGAGGCTGAAGTCACCGAATGCAATATACACTTTACCCGAACCAAATGCGAAACGTTTCTTCAAGACTGGCCAGTGCACTCCCCTCCCCCGGGCATAAACCCGTTGTGTGACAAGTTCGGAAACAGCTAATGGCTTTGCATGCCACTTTCAACTTTTCTGTCTTTCTCCTACAGTTCATCCAAATGGGCAGCCAAAAGACAGCAATCAAAACCAGCGCACGAAAGTGCATGGGTAACGGTTGTTCGAACTGAACTGAACTGATCACCAAATGAACCATGTAGTCAACTATCGTAATTGTAATCACCACCAATCCCAAAATACGGATTTAAAAAACATTTCATTATAAATAACGAATAACAATAAACACAAGGGTCCCCTGCTCACAAAACTGAAAAACTTCAATATACGCCACTGCATACTGAGTGTGTATCACAGTTCGTACCCAAGTCAAAACCCATGAAACTCAATCCCGCGTTCGGCCTTTCATACCTTTCTGACAGGCCACGGATTCAGTGATACTGAATATTGATTTGGAATGACCATTCCTCAAACCTCCTCCCTCCCCATCCCCCACGCACCATCTTTAGTTCATCCAACCACCCACACACTGGAAAAGTATTAGGATCGAGTTTCGTCCTTGTAAGAACTTATAAGTAGTGTATATCTACCGTCCTGTCTGGGATTTGAACTCCAGCCCCCTAAATTGGGACAGTATCTCCAAACCCAAATAAAAAATTTCATTTGATGAACGCCTTTCGATTGTAGTGTCTGTCTCCCTTCTTTGTTCTTGGGCCAACAACTGACGGAATACCTTTCAGAGTTAGTTGGCACAATCATAACAAACACAACTTCCATGTGATGCGTCTGCTTTTTGAGCTCCGAATGACATGTACTACTGAAAAACTCCAACCGCTCAGTTATGTATTATCTGGGGAGGATGACTAGTAAAAGAGATAAACTGTATGATCACACGGACAAGGCAATCGCAGCTAAGAGACTTGGAATCATGAACCGCATGACTCTTAGAGGCTAGCTGCTGTGCTGAGCAACGAAGTACCTTAGAATCCAAGAAGATGCTCGAGAATAGAGCTTGGAACTTTACGGATCATTGTGTGCCAGTAAAAGTAACGTAAACTAGCTAAAGTCGAATCGAATTAATAATGACATCAAAGAAAACGAAATGGAATAGCGCAAAAAATTCATCGTAATTACTCTGTTCAACCCGATTATAAGTGAAAAAGTGTATCAAGGAAAACAGGCGAGGGAACACAAACAACTTACATTTTTTTCTGAACCATCAGCAGTCGGGGCACAAGGCGCTGAAACCGAAAAGAACATGGGGGAATTTACTAAACGCGTGAACAGTGAAAAGATGATCAAAGTCCCCTAAAAATCACCACATACCACCAAGAGATTTTCACAACGAAACAACACATGATTGACGACCGATCAAGCACCACATGCGTAACAGTCAGCTCACCTAAACAGACGATCCGAGCCGTCGATCAATGAACCCGACAATGTCAGCAACAGTGGTGTCTATGGTAATAAGTATATTCTAGCAAACGTGATGTGTGCGTAAGCCTTCAGTCAGTGGTTAACCGGAATGGAAAACCTACCGAACAAGTACAAAGTAACGACAGAAATGGCAAATAAACTTAAATGGAGGCGACACCAGGTTCTATTCCAGCAACTCGTATGAATGATGCTGAACGTGCAAGTGATACAGCACCACTAACATACGCTGCTTACTTATCTACTTTGAATTTTTCCTAAGAGACCAGCAAACTATATCAAAAAGAAGTACGAGACACTTTATTTGCTACCGTTATTTATTTGACTGGAATCGGTTACCACACCACGATGGTTGACATTAAGAGGCGGATGTCACTACCAGATCAACAGATATCTCGTGAAACCAATCCATTTTCATCTGCTTGTCATTCAAACTACCGATACATAGATAATGGATCAACACGATTGAATAAAAATGCATGGAATTTAATGCGATTGGAGAGAGGAAAAATTTCACAATCTGGGTACCGAAAAACCCCGGATGGAGGCTTTTTAGAGAACCCTCTTGTAATCTGAATTTTCACACGATACTGACTGTTTGAGGAATTCAAGGTTGCACCAAGCACCAAAGAATGCAAATGATTACAATCATACAAGTATCTCCAGTGTACTACAACTTGCAACCGTCAAGTCATCAGCGAAGATTACAGTCACGAACATTGATTTGAACAATGTATCCCTGATTACCTCGCTGCATTTGCACATATGTATGTAGCTAAGACAGAAAATGCCGACAATAAAAACATATATAGGCTACTCCTAACAAGGGATAACACGATGACAAGGGCGGTGGTCTACCTTCAAGGCTGAGTTAACGTGACGAGCCGTTCACGCTAATTGCATGGATCGGGTTGTTGTTACTGCAATAACTTCTGCAGGCATAAAGACTAAGTTTCAGTTGAAAATAAACAAGTTGGAGAGAGGGAGAAAATAAAAATAATGATAAAAAAGATTTAAATCCAAAACCGGTTAATAAAGTTTGTGAAAAAACTGTTCCTTGTCAACTAGAATACGATATATGTTTATTCGAGAGGGAACACAACGGTATTTGGAACTAGTTGACGGATAGGAACAACAGGAAGTTAAATCTGTGTTTAGCGGATGTGTGGAGTCGATAAAGATCTTATAAGCAAACTTTTCGCATGCATTCAAATGATGTTCGCATAGGTGAGTTACCAACTCCTCCGGTGGGATTGAAGAGACACGGTTAATGATGTTCAGTGCACGTCGAAGCAGTTCAAATCTTTCTTTAAAAGATTGGATAAAATGACAAGTGAACAATAAAGTAAAACCGGAAAAACACTGGTACACGAAGTTGAAAATAATCGATTGTTGAATATGAAACTGATGAAGTTTATAGATATGGGAAGAAAGTCATCGAAGCTTAGTGACGATCTGTTGAATGTGAGAAATCCAATGAAGATTAGCATCGATAGAAAAACAGGTATTTAATGGCACCGATCTGACCGATAACTGGTTGGATGGTTTTTGGTGTTGCCGAGGATGATGAATTCCTTCACGTATTGGAACTAAATTGTGCTCCAGGATAATCGTTAAGCATGTTCCACATTAAGCTGTACCATGCGTAATTGAAGAGCACTAGAGAAAGTGGGCGATCTCCAGCAGCATTTCAAGATGGCTGAGAATTACCTGAAGATAGGTTTATATTGCTCCATGGAGAGCTTTTAGTTGTGATTATTTTGGTTTACCTGGGGGATGACGTTGGAGCTCCGAATTATTTGGGGTTCTTGAGAAAATTTCGGCATCGGGTCGAAGTATTTCACTCCTAGTTTGAGTTCGTTCGATTGAATAATTTTCTCTATTTACGTCATGCCGCGCGCATTCTGTTTGCGAGGAAGACGATGTAAAATGAGATCTTAGATACTAGCACTGGCTCCGGACTTCATGAACGGATTGGAAGATCCGTTTTCCGGAAAAACACGTGATCCGGGCAATGTTTACATTCCACGAGCGATATAACTTTGATCTCATTCACACACCATGTAATGGAGCGGGTAAATTTGCAACTACAAGGTTATAACTGACGGAAGAAAACTCTCAACAAAAGATACTGCAATCCATTGGATCGGTGGGATGTTTCATTGTGTTCAACATTAAACACTCGAAAAGAAACCATGAAAAGCTCCCGAGAATAAGAGCTTTTAAAAACGTCACTAAGACGATGATACTAGCCATGAACAAACGCATCAACTATGTCGCCAAATGTGCCTACCATGAAACCGATCTTGTCGCTTGCTTTACTGATACCTACATACTAATATTTTCGGTGAAAGAATCACCACCCCATTCTCCAAATTATTATTTATTATTATTTACCAATCCAGGTCTGAATAGTGAGACATGAGGAGCGTATAAAGAGGAGTTGTGTCACCGAACTGATGAAACATTCCATGACGATTTGGGAAAGAGAACGATAAATCTGCAACTACTACATGTTCGACTGAATTCAAATTCAGGTATTTGCTTACAATAAAAAGCAGTCAGGCTAGAGCAATCACTTCAGGTCATCTACGCAACAATTGATTTCAAATTCATCAAGTATGTCGAGGTTAGCGTCAATTACCAATTTAAACGCGAGCTGTGCAATTAGCGACAACGGATTGTCACGTTAGCCCAACCTGGAAGGTCGATCCCACCCCTGTCATTTTTTCTAAGTGTAAGCCTTTCTTCGATTTACTTTCATTATTTTTGTGTTTATAAAAAAACTCGACTACAGTGTACCTATGTGCAAAAAGAGCAAAGCAATCCGGTATGTGTTGTGCAAACTCGAGTTTGTGACTACGTTTTTCTAGAAAATATTAGTCAATTTGTAGAGTAAGAGGTCATTGGATACATTATTAATTACATAACCGTAATCATGATTATTGCACTCAATACACAATTAAAGTCTGACAAGAATCCTTGATCGTGTACCTCAAAAATAGAATGAGACCAAATTTTAGGGAGCTGTCTGTCAGATACCATAGCCGGATAATAAGTCTTCATGCTGTATATTCAACGCGGAATCCAAAGAATATGGTGCAAATAATGTTATATTTGGGAAGAAAAAATGTGTAAAATATTTGACGACCTCTTACCCGGAGAAGCAGATCTATGAAGTGAGACCGTGTTTGCTTGAGCAGTCCCCAACTTGGATAGTTCAACTGAACCCATTGTTGTGTCAACCGAAAGCAACACACCGGACCTGGCAACTGCTGGTGATGGCGACTGGCCACGTGTGGAGTCCGCAACAGTTTCCGGTATAGTTCCTTCCGAAGATTTCTGGCCAGGAACAGAGCCATCTTTTGATGGTTTTCTTGCAAGTAACCCTGCAGACGCATTCTGGAACTGAGCAACACCAGCATCGCTCTGCCTCGCTCGGTTTAGCGCCGCAAACTGTCGCGAAGTAGGATACTCGCCAAGGCTGGTGGATCGACCACCTTAAGGATATAAATGAGACTCATGAAAGCGCTAATCAAACGTAGAGAATAATACTCCAAACAGTTAACGTTGTACCGACTTGAAAAAAAGTTGACGAACTATTCGCCAGAAGAGAGTGAAAAAACATCATTTTCTGACAATTAGCAAATGGTTCTGCCAGAAGCCTAGGGTCAAGTTATCTTTCCTGACAATTCATTTGTAAGTGAAACTTCATCTGTGGTACCTCAATTAACATCGATCTGTGTTTAGATTACGCTAACTGGGAGTCGAAAGCCAAACGTGAACTAATATCCGTAGTAAATTTTGAAGGAAATGGGCCAAAATAGGCATAGAGTATTCACTCAGACGCAATCGAACTGGCTTTACTCGATCACAGAGCTAGCTCTGATTACAGATTTCTTTCATACCCACACACATGTGTGACCCGTTATGTCATACTTGTCCAGTTGCATACTAGCGAAGTGTGTACACTGTTTGTGAATTTGTGTAGACCAGGGGATCTGACTATTGCATTTGGAAAGCCGATAAATAGTGTTAATTCGTGAACAAAGATGCCGTTCGTTATTATTTTGCATCACTCGATTTTGGCTATCTCTTTAGACAGGATGAGCCGACTTCATAGAGTCCAACAAGTATCGCGTGAATCCGGTATGAACCACGTCCCAACATCGTTTGGCTTTTTGTTTGAGGGTGCACCATCAGTCTTGAAACAACGAAGTGCTATTTACGGGGCTGTAGGGATTTAGTAGTAGTGTTTTGATTCAGAACACCGTTCTAGCAGCTGGATCATGAATATGATCTCGTCCGCCCAGATTTCAGGATGAGTTTCACGTACAAGAGTGAAACTGAGACTCAAGGTATTCAAAGAAAGCCGGCTACGCCCACTTGGCTTAGCCCGCCTACCAGACTGTTACCGAGGTGTACCCGTTGCCTCACACAAAAAAAGTTTTTGGAGCCTTGAATGGATCAAAGGGAACTGCTTTGCGGGAAAACGAGAATTTGTCGAATCAGAAGTGTTACCACTACTGGAAAGCTAAAACTGGAGACAAAACGAAAGCTAACGCATTTTTTTATCACTAACGAGAGGATAGACAATTAAAATGAAGTTATATTTTGATTTATTGACAGAGAAACGTTCTCTCGATATTTGTCACCAGTTCCAAATGAACGAATAGCAAGCAGTTTTTCTTGGTCTTCAAATTTAGTTGTAACCCTAAATGAGCCGAGAATTTCGTTGCTATGCAAAAGAGAGGAAGCCTAGTAGGGGCATTGGTGAGATCTGAAACACTCGGAACGCTATGAACGGTACCTGAGCGAAAAAAATCATAGTGCATTCAGTGATTAAGGTAACTAGATAGTAGCACAGGCAAAGCTGGATTAGTTATTTTTGATGTTAAATCAACCGATGGCAGCCCAGCAAAGATGATAAACAAAACTTAACCTCGTAGTCTTCATTCGCAAACCGGAAACTAATGCAGGCGTAAAAGTGTTATGAACAATGACTCAAAAGCACCGCAAAGATTATTAATACTCATCGGAATAAAATTGCATTTTCGATCTCTAAAAATATTAAATAACCTGAATATATTTGTTTAAGTGAGGGAAGTGAAGCAGTTTGGCGCAAGGAAAACCCAGATGAACCATTTAGGAACGCCATACGACAGTAAAAAACGACTGCCTGTGGAGCTGGACACTACACATTTAAGGATTGCGGATAGGAAGACACTATTTAGCTAGCCGACTACGAACAGATGGGCACTGTTGCATAGAATAAGCGGTTGCGGATGATCCGCGAGGCTTTGCCTGACGACAGACCTCTCGTCAACAAAAACCCTACAAATGTCCGAAAAAGCATTGGGGCACGTGAATCGGATCCGCCATTAAATAAGGTCATCGAAGAAACCACGTTACTCTACAGATAGCACTTGAGTGTGCAACATTTACTCGCGAAGACGGCTCAGTGGAGCTTGAGATGGTATTGTGTACTTTACTCTCAAGAATCCTTACGACGCCATCCAAGTTCGTTTATCCCCACAGCAGAAAATTAGTCAATAATCTAAATTAAAAATGTGACATTATGATACTGGATAGACCCAGAGTCCGACACGCAAAAGGTGTAGGCAAATAACAAATAATAACCATTTGACTAAAAAAGTAAACGTCCTAGCCAATAAAGTCCCCTGTATTTTAGCAAAATGTTCATTAATCGACCCCTATCAACCATGTTGCGTAGCGAGCTATGCAAACATGCCGATAGTCTCAGTATTCTCTATTCGGGAGGCCCACATCGCTGAGCTACATAATGCAATGGGCTGAGAAGCTATAGAATGTGGATAGACGAGTGTCACACCAACTTCCGAATAATAAAATTAAAAAAGGAAAGTATGGCGAAACAAACTGCATCTTTGTGCAACTGTTCAGGTGCTACAGTGAAAGCTGAAGTAGAATCAATGTTTTCATAACGTTCAGCTACATAATTTGGCCCCGGAGACTCAATTCAGCATGCCCAAGCCAACCCTAAACACCACGTTTGGTTCACCAGTCGAAAGACGGGTTCTGGACTGAGCAACTATCGCCATTAACCTCCGTGAAATTAGCACTCAGAGAAACTCTATATGGAAACATGGCCACGCAGAGCTTGAACATTGTAATCCGTAACCGGTCGTATCTATATCCGAATTAAATTACGTGGTATCTGAAGCCTGAAGCACCCACAGAATCCAAAGTCTTGTTGATAAATTGATTTACAACAACTTTTGTGCGTCATTCACAAAAAACAAATACACTCACGTACCATATCACACAATGGACTGAAATGCAGCTGCATAGACAGACACTTCTTCCTGCATGACTCTTCAACACATGGAATAAAGCCCAGAATGAAAAAGGTCCATTATTCGGTTGGACTAAATACATTTGTCTCGAATACGACTGTAGTAAAGGGGCTGCCAACTACCAAAAGCTGGTAGTGTCGTTTTTGGCGATGATGTTGTTGCTGCTGCCGAGATTTGAACTTGTCTTAAGGACCGGTAACTGAAACCGTTTGATGTAAAGATTCAACAACGACATCGCAGAAGGCTTACATCACAAACTATTGGAAAAGATTTCGGTAAGAGGTGCAACTCAACTTAATTTCGTCAAGGGTGAAAGCTGAAATAATGTAGTATAACTAAGACATCAAACCAAACTGACGACCACAGTTCACATGGAATGGAATATGGAATGAAATTTATGTCCTCGTGAGTTACCCCGTCTGCTGCCCATCAGACAAAAGTGTACAATAAAAAGAACACAAATACTCGTTGCTTTAACAGTTTAACGCGCTTGATTTATCCAGACCTTTAGTGAGACCTGATGCTCTTGGGTAGTTGTTATGTCGTTTGTGAAAATCATGAACGAATAAACCACGCTTACCCAGTGCACCGGTAGCCGGTTTTTGCTCCGAACTTTCTTTGTCGTTCTCTATAACGGGATGAGCTCCTTGAGTGGTATCTGATGTTCTTGTCACATTTGAATGTTTTCGAGAAACACAAGCGCTAGGCACAGCTGAAGTCCCTGATGAATGTGCAAGACTCGGTAAGGTTGTGCTTTCAACACGATTCAAGCCACCACCCGTGACATTACCCCCAGGAGCGCCATTTGCCCCTCCCGTGCCAGCTAAGGATTCCTCGTCTTCCTCTTGATCTGCTGCCCAATTCCATCGACAGCCAAAAAGTGGGTAGAAGCCGTTTCTGTGGTGTAGATCGAATAAGATGGCAGCGTTATACGATATCGAGTATGAATACACTGGAAGTTGGTGGCAAAAATGGAAAACAACTGAATCGGACAAGACTGGCAAAGGCCTTTTAAAAATGCCAATAAGTTTACACATTCACATGTGCATTGAAATTGTAGGATCTCATGCTATAGAAATTCATTCTCAACGAAACAATTTTTGTATGGATGCAATGAATGCAAATACTTTATTCAAACTTCTGGCGGTAAAAATATGACACGGAGAAAGGAAAAAATATGCTGATCGCGGAGGCCACAACCAGATTTGTGGGCCAGCAGTGGGTTACCAAGGGAAAAGCAAACTGCTTCAAAACACCCGTGCATTTTGGCCAAAAGGCAATGTGATGCAACGAAGACTGTCTTAAACTTCAAAATTGCAGTCGTTTTCCCATCGTCGGGCTATTGCTTCGTTAGCTCTTTTCGATCGATATTGTTCTGGATTCTATTCTTCTTTACCCATCTCAGCGGTTCTCCTGTCATTGTCTTTTTCTTGTACATCTCGTTCTCAGGCGGACAGTACATTTAACAGGTTCCTGTCCCCATACATCGGGCCCCTATCTTCCTGTCCCGTTTTATCGCTTAGGACTGCGAAATTAGGGAACACTTCACATTTCCAAACATTTATATTTTCACTCCTTTGAAAAACAGGAGCAACAATTTGGTTCTCGACTAAATGTTCCCTGACATACGTTCCCTCTTACAGCATGTCTCTGACTATGGGGTTCAACCCTTTTGCTATCACTATGTGTAACATAAAAATAAATCCGACAACGATAGCAAAAACTATTTGAGGCAAAGTAGCAGTACGAATGCCTGTAGTGTTATTATTGAACATCTATAATTATCTTGATCAGCTTTTTGGCATTTCAAGTGGATGAGTTAATCAAATATTGATCCAGACGGTGGGTACCAGCTTGCTCGATAAGTTTCCATTTGCTTTTCGATTTGATCACTACAAAGTGTTTCAGGGATGCCTGAAGAATGCACAGAAATCCCAAAATAGTAGTACACACGCAAGCGTGCATGTGTGTGTTTGAGGTTGAAAATAAACTCAAACGGCTTGGTTCAGGCCATCAAAGTTTACTCAACTCTAAATTTTCTAACGCTATCATCTAGAATTTGCAGTCCTAATCAATTATCGCATTAACTGGGAAATAAGAAAGGAATTTATTCATCGTCTTGAAATACAACATGGATTCATCGTGTGGACAGCAGGCTTTGAGCGTGAGAGGAAAAAGCCATAAATACATATAATCTTCTCAGTTTTCTAGCAATACCTAACCACAGTTAGTACGTTGCTAAATCCAACTTGAAAAGTCAAACGGTCTGAGTCATCTGGTTTAGCTTAACAGGAGACCGGTAGAGTATTTAGTTTATAATAAAACTCAACAGAGAAGCCAAGTAGGCACAAAAAGCCTGCCACCTTGATTGATGATGAAACATTTGGAACCTTTTTGATGAATCGAAGTGAAAAGGGTAATACCATACCAACGGATGTTGCAAAAAGCCTTTTGATCGCTACACAAAACACTGTAGTCAAGTCAAGAAAAGCTTTATGAACCCAAAAGGTGAATTTTCAGCAGTTTACGAGTTTTACAGTGGATAGTTAAACTAATTGTAAACAAAAATAGAAATACAGTATGAGAAATTCTGCACTTTAATAAACGAGAAA